AAATACAGATGTGAAGCGCTCTCTCTGAACGTTTTGAACTTTAATTCTATTTTTCATATTTTTTTATCGTTAATTTTGTCCAGTCCTTGTATTCGATAAACGACCTCTTATACGTTGTTTTTAAAATATAGACTGAGAGATTCTTGAGTCTCAGAATTCCTTGCTTGTTGATTTTTACAGTTTTGTTGATTTCTGGGAATGGTATATGTATGTTATATGTGTATTCTCTTTTAGATTTTGGGAGTGTGTGTGATGTGCTTGCTTGTATATATTTATGTGAGTGTGTGTATATGTGTGAGACCTCAGCACCTCTGCAATCATATCTCCCTTATGTAGATGAGAAATATAGGTAGGGCTTGTTTTATAAGGTTATACATTAATTCTATCTGTGTTATTAAATTTCTGGTTAAGTCTGTGTGGATGAAGTGTTTTGAGGCGCAAAATCCATTTGTCTTCATGGTCCTCTAGAATTTTTATAATGTTATCTTTTCTGTCTATTTCTATTTTTTCAATTATAGTGAATTTTGCATGGCTTTTAAAATCATGTTTTTCTGTGCGGAAATCTTGTTCTACGGGTAATCCGATTCCTATAATTATTAATTCTCTAGTGAAAGGGCCATCCAGATTTTCCCACATATTTTTTCTGACATAGTGTCTATTCTAGGAGGTAAATTATGTTATGATTTCTACAGATAGAGTTGTGGTAGATATTGAAAGTAAATTTAGTGACTGAGCTAGTTAACTAATTGGTGTGTCTAATGTGGTTTTTAGCATAAGCTCCTTTTGGTGTTACATGGCTTGGAAAATCCTGTTGTTTTATGCTCGGTTTATTACGGATTACCTCATCATCTGAAATTTGGTTACTACCTATAATTTCCTTAAGGTTCTTAGGTCTACGATATGTTAGAAGGCCGGGTTCCTCAAACAAGGTTTTTAGATCTGGTTTGAGATATAATATTTCCCAGCGCCTTTTGATTATCGGAGATAGTGGAGGAAGAGTGGTGTTGAAAGTGGTTACTAGAGGGATGCGTCTGGTTTATTTTTAATTTTATACATTAGGGTGTATATATATATATATATATATATATATATATATATATATATATATATGTATACTGATGAACCTCAGTTTTCGACCATAATTTATTCTGAAAGTCTGTTCTAAAACCGAATTCTTCGGGAACCGAATTATTTTTTTCCATTACAAAAAAAAAGGCACAATACAATAAAATTAGAAAAGAAAAAACACAGCACAAGACACGAATGTTTACAATATGGTGATTGACTCAGAAATGATTTCGTTCGTCTTGTTTCGGCAAATGTTGTTCAAAGCCCGAAATGTTGTTCGATAATCGAGGCATATTCATCTCGAATTTTCTATTCGAAAACTGATTTATTTGACATGTGATACATTCAAGAACCGAGGCTGCTCAGCGTTAAAAAAAGGACAAAAACATAATACGTAAATTTAAAACAATCGTTTATGCTTGAAATGGGATCTGATGAACCAGGACAAAAACAACTTCCTGGGGAAATAAAATATAATCAACGGACACTGAAGGTTATCTTTTTTCTAATTAAATTAATATTCGCTCTGGTTTTATATTGAGATCTCTGGATAAGATCTTTCTTGGGATTATCCATACGGATTACCAATCTTTTCATTACCTAAGTATATATATATATATATATATATATATAGTGTCAGAGAGATGTCAGTTATGTGCCATGCATGATACACGCTTAGGTGATGATGTACCTTTCAATACATGACTGACGAGGTAATTTTTTTCCCGCAGTAGGTTGCCATTTCTTTCTGCGGTAAACCAGTTGCCATCCCAGGCTATAGAACCCGGTCTGTCCTGCTATTTACCCATAGCTGTGGGGAGAAGAACAGGATTCATACCTTTTCCAAGGTTAATAGCACGTAAGTGAAAGTAATGAATCCGAACTTGCTTCTCCGATCGATAGATATATTGTAGAAATAAAAATCCCAACTGAATTGTATGATGGTCACATCAAGCGTAAAGTAGCAGCCTGTCACCATGCACTGTTGAATGCAGTGTTCACTCTTTTGTTGTATCTTCCATATTGATCTCTTTTTCCTCATAAGCATATAGCAAAACGCTATCTATCTATCTATCTATCTATCTATCTATCTATCTATCTATCTATCTATCTATCTATTCCTCTCTCTTTGTATATATATATATATATATATATATATATATATATATATATATAATATACGCTCTCGCTCTTACCCTCTCTCCCTCAATCTCTCTCTTTCTCTCTCTGTCTCTCTTTCTATATATATATATATATATATATATATATATATATATATATATATATATATATATCTAGCCACACTCGTTTCTTACTCTCTATCTTTCTCTGTGCCCACCTGTCTGTCTGTCTCTCTCTGTCTCTTTCTCTCTCGTTCTCTCTTTATATATATATATATATATATATATATATATATATATATATATATATA